TCTCTTTAAGGAATTGACTTTTTGTTGAATGTATTTTATTTGTTATTTGTTATTGCCTAAAGCACTTTGAATGGCCTTTGTGTCTGAAATGTGCTATATATTAATCAACTAACCTTAACCTTCCATTAGAGAGGACACCTTACACATTGAAGGCTGAACGGCAGGTATTTGATTATACATGCAGTCCCTTTATCAAGTTAAAGATTTAGATGTAACTGACAACAAAGGGATAACTGATTGCACCAATGCAGTTTCAGAGCTTATAGACTTGTATGTCTTTTAATATTGTTGGTATCATTTCACCTCCTGCTCATTTTGGAGAAGCTACAGATTGTCTGCTGTTATATCTTCATGGTTCTTAGACTTGTAATCTTAACTTTGACGACTTGGTGCATCTCAGGTTTTGGTGTAACGTGCAGAAAGGTGTTGGATGCATAAAGCTCTGGGACACTTGCACAGTTTCCCCCTTCTATTTGAATTAGCGTGGACGCATATTTAGCTTCTATTCGACAGTATACATTATGACTTCTGAAGAGATCTCACTGCTTGAGTATATTTAGTCGTTATTATGCTTCTGCGTTTGACTCTGCTTTGTCGGATGTTTTTTGGTTAAACTTAACTTGACAGTATAGTTACAACTGGTCTTATGTTCTTTCTGAACACACCTTCAAAGTAGAGGTATTCAGTCTTCTTCGAGTCCGTAGCAATCTCAGATGTCGTTCTGCCAGTATCGGGCACAGGCCACAGCTGATGGTTCTGCCAGGTCTTCTGGACTGCACCGGGGGGCATCGGCACATTCCAGTAGGTGGGACATTGTCTGCACTGATCCACAGCTGCACGTGTCTTCTGTGGTGTAGTTCCACAGGTATTCAGTGCCAGTGCATGGGTCTTACATTTAAATAACAGAAAGTTTCCTGCGTCTCCTGCTCTTATGAAGAGTCTGTTTATATTAGTGGTTTTGGAGCTGATGACTTGTTACGGATATAACAGTATCTGCAAATATATCGACCAAATGATAACAAGAAATACAAGAAAATATGAAATCATGTCTCCATTACATGGTTTATCCACCACATATTTGAAGTACATTTTTTGCGGAAGACACATTTCCTCACCTGTTGACATAATGTTAAATCTTGATTGTAAAAAGATCTTTCTGTAGCTTGCATTGCATTAATAAAAGAAAAGACTATAATAAATAAAACGAAAGTTGTGTCCTTTACTCATGGATTTTGAATTGATTTGAATCAAATTCTACATATAATTAAAAGAACATCATAGCAATATAAAATGTCACCTGAAAACAAAATGACCAAGTTTGGGGATGTAAGCTCAGCCTTTACGTAGCCTGAGATGTTTATGGATTTTGTTGGCTGGGCGGACAGAAGAGACCGTTAACAGAGATTTTAGAGAGTAAATATATTTGAAACCGAAACAGGCAACGAAAAAACCAGTATCTATCACACTCTTGTGCTAACGTTTAGCCTGGTACCTGCTTCTCTCTACGGCCTGGTGCAGTCTGGGTAAACATCTCACAAGTGGAGCCTATTATCTGGCTGTACGCCGCGTATGAGTCATGTTTACCTGCAGGGGTTTGCTCAGCACGAGGCCATCTGAAGGAAAGGAGCTGCTTCGTCAGGTTACCTGCTGCCTACGCTCTCTCCGCCCCGAACAAACAATCTGATTGGCTGAGGACTCTGCTCCACGCTCCAATTAATGGACAAATACTCCAAACCCTATCCCAAAAATGACGGAAAGCATCTGTGTGGTGATACGGATGGCGGTCGTATAGTTGGGAAACAAAGTATTTCCTATACCTGACAACAAGATCTGTGGAGTATCATGAGTAACCAGGTCATGATTTTCAAAACGAGACATTGATCTTGATTTCCCAAATTAATTTTTGAGGTGCTTTGAGCACGAGGAATACACTCTTTCCTGTAGTGTGTTCTATAGGTTTTAGTGCATGTAAATGGTCTGCAAAGGCTAAAATCCCTATGTTCCCTTCAGAGGGAGTTTCTCACACTCCCCCCCTGAAAAGCCTTCGATGAACTCCTTTGTTTACTTCTGGAACAAAGTGACATCACTATGTAACACTTGTCTTCTATTGGCTAGCACTCCAACACACTTTAAATGACTCACAACAAGGTGGATTATTGTAAGTAAAGGGGTCATGATTTCTGGAAAGAGACATCAGTTTTTCAAATGTATTTCTTTGCCATTTTTATCAACCACAACCACAGAGAAGGCAGACATCTCTATGGAAGATTTATCCAACATTCAGCATCTCACACCAAAACAATCTGGATGCATAAATACAAATGGAGGTGAAAAGAACACAATGTATTTTAGATTTTGGGGTGAACTGTCCCTTTCATAATAATAAGGACATGTTATAAGAAGATATAATGCCCGCCTTTTGTTGAACTGGTCACAACCTGTAGACATGTGCAGCCTGACGATGAGTCACAACATACAGTGGCCTCATTTGAAGAGGTCAGAAAGGGAGCTTCTGCTAAACACACATGTATATGATTCAAGGACAACATGCAAACATGGCGTTAATAAAGAAATGTCACATGTGTGTGTCCATCAAAAACCTCCTCTGCACCCCCACTGTTATGATGACTGTCTCACATCTGCAGGAGAAACCTCAAACAACCTCTCCAAACGAGGAGGAGGAAGATTTATGAGGAAGGAGGATGAGGAGAAAGGCCCCTGAACCCCCTCATCATGACATGAGCCCATAACAACATCAGCACCGAGCGTGTGATCAATAACAGCGGCGGCGCGCAAACAAGCGGCTAATCATAATAAATAGATGAATGATTTATTTTATATTATGTATTAAAGGGGGGTCAGGTGGTGGGGGGGGGGGGGGGGGGGCGGTGTACTCACTCGTCTGGGCACGTGTCCTCGTTCATTTTTTCCCGTTTCACCTCCGGTAATAATAAGCTCCCGCCGCGGCTGCACGGTGCGGCGTCTTCATGTTTCCTCGCCCTTCAGCGGCAGGAGCGGCAGAAGCGGCAGAAGCGGCAGGAGCGGCGAATCCAGTTCTCCCCCGCGATCCTCTCGGTTTTTAAATCCCGGTGTGCGTTATGTGGTCTCAGATCTCCTCCTCTTCCTCCTCCTCTTCCTCCTCCTCCACCAACACCACCTCCTCTTCCTCCTCTTCTTCTTCTCCTTTCACCCCTCAATTAGCCTACTGGAGAGCATCCGAAGAGGCGCGCATCTGATCTCCTCTTCCACCTCCTCCTACGCCTTTTCTTCCCCCTCTTCTTCTTCTTCTTCTTCTTCTCCTTCTTTTTCTTCTTCTTCCGCCTCCTCTTCCTCCTCCCTCGCCGACCCGAGCTGGAATGCGGTGACCGAAAATGGTGCGCTGGTTTCGGTGAGGATGGCCCCGGACGAGCCCCATCTCCTCCTCATTACTCCATGTTGGATTCAGTGAGCGCAGACAGAGAAGAGCGAGGAGCAGGAGGAGGAGGAGGAGAGGAAGAGGAGAGGAAGAGGAGGAGGGGGGGCGGTGACGTCAGACCCGAAGGACTGCAAAGTCACGTGTATTAACATATAATAATAATAACGAAAATAATGGTAAAAGTAATAAATAATCATAATAAATAATAGTATTAATAAAAACAATAACCTACCTTGTATGTAACTACTAGTGACATATTACATTGATTACTTTTGGATTCACTTTCTTAGCTTATTTCTCAAACTAGACAATAAAGCTGAAAAGTCCTAAAAATACAGTATAATGAAACCAGTCAGTAAACACAACACTGCACTTCACACTTACTCAAGTTCTTAAAGTCTTAACTTGAAACAGAGCAACATAACATTTTTTTCATTCTACATACAGCAGCTTTTACTTATAATTATATTGCTGGTTTTAACCCCTTTTGGTCACTGCACTTGAATAGTTGTAATTTAATTTTATATTTGTTCTCAGTTACATTAACATTTTCCTGACTAGTGGCCTAACTCCCCAACTTCATATATTTGTAGAAATTGCTAGGCTAATATACAGTGTTGGAGATTAGCATAAAGTAGAAGCGTTAATATAAACAATTGAAACACTAGAAAAAAAGATGGCAGCCAACAATAGTAAAAGTCCTACAATATTCTTCTAATAGCAATGATACAAGTAGTCAATAATGTAGTATTAGGCTTCTACTTTTACTGAAGTGAAAGATCTGAGTAACCTATTGAACCTACACAAAATATAAAAACCTTATTCTGTAATATTTGATTCTCAGTTCTGATAATTGACTCTATAGGACTGACAAGCACCTGCTAATCATTTTTCTTAATAAGAGCCTCAGTTTATTTTCCAATCAGTTTATTATCAGCTGTCCATCAGAACAACCAGCCACTGCTCTCCTTCTGTCACATTTATAAAGCACTGTGTTTTAGTGACACCTTGTGGCAGAGGCATGTCACTGCAGCTGCACTTCACATCTGCTCCACATCTGTCCTCACTATAACAATCCTGAGTGTTTATTTGAGTAGAAATATCATGGACGTTATACTTTATATTTCTTAGACCTTATTTAACTGTGACTCTGTATTTTCTGTGTTGGCCTCACTTTATTTGGACAGTCCAGAGCAGATTCTAGACGTCATGTCCAGGGATTTTAATAAATATCCACCGAGCTTAAGGTGATTTTCAGTCATGTAAAAACTACTGAAGAGAATCTCAGCAGACAATATGAAGATCCATCTTATATCTCAAATGATTCACTCTTAACTAAGATCTCTTTTTAGATTATATTAGATGTACTTTATTAAACCCATCCTGGGAAAAATATTTGTGATTTAGGAGAATATAAACAAGATATTGCAGATGGATTAAGATTGAAATAAAATTGAAAAATAAACAAAAACAGTAAATATATACATTTCAAAAGCGGAAGATACAGTATATAGAGTATCTCTATTGAATACCCAATATATTACATGTTACTTGTTAGATGCTTTTATCCAAATACTCAATACTGTGGGCAATCCCCACAGGAGCAATTTGGGGTGAAGTGTCTTCAGGGACACAACGACATGCTGACTGCAGTGGGGTTTGAACCTGTGCTCCCCTGATCAGAACACCAACGCACTAGCCCACTGCGCCACACGCCTCCTTACACTGAAGTGAAGTCAGTTTAAACTATGAAAGGCCAACATACAACCAACATGGGATACCATTAACATTATAAGTTGCCTTTGAGTATGAAACACTTGACTTGAAAGATGGTTAGGTGCTGCAAAAATAGTTTTACATTTTTTATTTGACCATTCATCCATAAAAAGTTGTTTTGAAGTCTGACTTTTTTCACACTTTTTTCTGTCATTTCTTTGTTTAATTTTAGAACAAATGGTCTTATTAAAAAACTAATAGACTTTTTGGGATATTGGGAAACAGTAAAAGAAACATTCAATATTTGTTTTTTAATGGTATTGATTAGGACACTCTGTATTTAAGTAGTTCTTTAAAACGAGAGGTTGAAGAGTCATACTCTGTACGAGGTTTTATCAAAGAGAAATGAATGAAAAGCAACAGACAGGTTTTGTGTTTATTTTCAAATTATCTATTATTTTTTGCAGTATTAGCTTTTATTTGATAATAACATAGATTTTTAATTCTATAAATTCTATCTATTTTTGTTTTGCTAAAAGGTTGAAACTGTTTGGTTAATCTATCATGTATTAATGTAAACCTTTGTTCTGCACTTTTATTTTGAAATTCGAATTGAAGCGCTGTGTCTTTAAGAGGCGGGACATGTGTGTGCTCACTTCTTATTGGATAATGGAAAAATGTTCAGCCATCTTGTGGTGTATATAAAGACTGTGGCCGTTTCTCAATCTCGAGGATACTGGCTTCCAAGCCAATATTTCAAGGATGCTACGTCATCGAGTGCCGCCGAAGGACTGTTCCAATCTCCAGCATACTTGGAATTCCACCGAGGCCGCGTCCTTGGTTTGGGGGAAATTTCGAGGCTGCACATGGGTAGACTTCGCGTCCTTAAAATCCCCACAATGCACGGACCAATTTCAGAAACCCTTGCGGAGAATGGCTGAACCGACGCAGCACACATTTAAATGTAAGTATGTAGTGGCGTAGAACATGTGGTAAATATGTTACTTTGTTACATTTGTTTGTTATCACCAAAAATGTGTTCCGTGAAAGTAAAGCAAGTTCATAATTAGATAGATATCGTGAGGTATTTATTTTTTCGGTACAGTTTATGTTGAAACCGTTAGAGAGAGTGGCACACTTGTTAGCCTGTTCCATTCTTCTTCGTTTTCCGAAGTCGTGGCTTGGAAGCATACTTGCTTCGTTTCTGAAGGAAGTGACTTGGAAGTACGCGACTACCAAGCCAGCATCCTCGCGATTGAGAAACACCCCGTGGGTGTTTCTCAATGTCGAGGAAATCTGCTCCAAAGCCACTATTTCAAGGATACTACGTCATCGAGTGCCGCCGAAGGACTGTTCCAATGTCCAGCATACTTGGAATTCTACCGAGGCCGGCGTACTTCGTAGCGGGAAATTTCGAGGCTGCACATGTGTAGACTCCGCGGTCTTAAAATCCCCACAATGCTTTGCGCACGGACCAATTTCCAAATCTTTGGCGGAAATCGCGCTCCATTTAAGGCGGGGCCTCTCATATGACGCACACCTGCACACCTGTTAGCCTGTTCCACCATTCTTCGTTTTCCCAGGCTCGGAAGGATTCTTGCCTCGCTTCTGAAGCAAGTGACTCGGAAGACATGTGCTACCAAGCAAGCGTCCTCGACATTGAGAAACACCCTGTGCTTTTTTCCTGCTCTGTAAAACACTGTAATGAAGACCATGTGCTGAAGGCTGTAAGTAGAATAAAGTGAAAACTCTTTAGTGCTGATTGTTGTTTTTGCACATTTTGTACTTGTAAGTTACAAGTTGTAACTTACAACAGAACTGGCTGAAGTATAATCTTGATAAAAGTCACTTTGTCTGGACACGATGAGGCAAAAAAAACTGAGTATAGAAGACTAACTTTCTAAAGAGCTAAACACTGAGCAGGTAGACCATCCACCTGCTGCCTTTTACTTTAATTCATATTATAATTTTGTTATAGAGACAATGCAAATTAACATATATCCAACACAGAGCATGAAACTGATGTGCTGCTCAGAGTTTATAGCTATTTCTTAACTTGTGTAAGTCTGTTTGTCATCATTGTAAGTGTTTTGTCAGTATATTATTACAGCAGATCTGTAATAATATCTAAAATAAGACGATAAAACTTACATTTTGAGTTTTGAGTGACAGTTAGCCAACTTTATAATCCCCGAACATCACCAAGCGCTCCCCAGCTGTGTGCATCACTTTTTATTGTCCCCGTTTCGGTATTGATTTGAGCTCATGCAGCGCTTTTAGTAAACGCTGCGAATGTTTCATCAAGTTGGTGAATATGTCTTCATTTGCATGTGTTTTGGCACATTTGTGTTTCTATATTTGCACTGTTTTTATAACTGCAGCGCATTTCTCCTAAAATGGGAGTGTTTTTGGCCGTTGTAGTCCGTCTGCCACCGTACTTAAAGGGGACCTATCATGCAAAATGCACTTTTTTATGTCTTTTATACATCAATATGTGTCCCCGGTGTGGGCAGCGTCAGAAAATAAAACCCTCTCTCTTTTCCTCCGTACCCAAATCTCTAAAAACGGGGCTAAAACGGAGCGGATCCAGATTTGCGTCCGATATGACGTAATATCGGAAATGTAGGCTGGCTTTACACCCACGGCCCTATCAGAAACGTTGCTATCAGAAACAATGCCCGACTGTTTTGGACGTAATATGGTCGGTGTTTACATTAGCCGCGTTCACACCAAGTACTTTCCTGTACTTAGTTCCGGCACTAAGAGCCCCGGCGCTTTTAACCCCAGGGCACTTAGTACAGATCGCGTTCACAACGGAGTACTTTTCCCTGAGGGAAGATTACGCAAATGAGCCGCTGACGTCACTTCTTCTTCTTCTGCTTTGGCTTTACTGGCAGGCCACAAACCACTTCACGGCGAGTACAGTAGGTGGCGGTATGCACCTTAAAGTTGTTTGCAATCCGCTACAAAACAAGAGAAGAAGAAGAAGAAAAACTTCCCGCGTATACTGCGACGCCCACCCACTCGCTGTACATTAGGCGTCTGTTGTTTACCTTCCGACCTCAGACATGATGGAGATGGAGTCGACTGAAGTTGTGCTGTTTGTGCTCATGTTATACAGCTTTGTAACTGAGTTAATGCAGCCTGAGCAACTTGCGTACAATAACAAAACAAGCCGAGCACGAGTGGTGGTGGAGAACGCTTTTGGCAGACTGAAGGGCAGGTGGCGGTGCTTGATGAAAAGAAACGACTACAAGATCACAATCCAGGTGGCAGCATGTTGCATATTACATAACCTTTGTGAAAGTAATGAGTACAGGGACGAATGGACTGCCTTACCGGCGACCCAGCTTTATGAGGCATCTGAACAGCGTGTAAATTGTAAACATTTTGACAATGTTTCTCTTTTATTTTCCAGTCAAGACAGGCAACATTACAATAGGGTACAGTGTGGCAATATAATAACAATAAACTGTGCCAGGTGTGTTGTATGCACAGTAAATAGGCTCAGCAGCAAACCCACCGTTATTAGTATATATATATCTTCCTGAGACCCACTGCATCCGTCTGCCATAAACACTATGGAAACATAAATGTTAGTTTCGGCCCATAGTGGACTCCATTTTGTGTTGTGTAAAATGGGGGGGGGGGAATTAAAGGTTTGCAAATCCCCATGTCCTCCTCAGAGGACAATCATAAAAACATTTAGTTTTAGGTCAAATAATATTTAAAATTATATAAATTATCATATTTGTGTATGTGCCCCTGCCATTCCTCCACAAGGTTGCAACATTGATGATAAATAAATGATAAATAAAGCTTTGCCAGTTTATAACCGATGAAACATGATGGTATCAGAATAATCACTTACATGTGATGTATAGGATGCTACACAGGTCACAAAAGATAAAGTGTCAGGAGAAATAAGCAAGCTACAGGATCTGTTTAACAGTAAATAGAAGTTCACATTTTTAATGTAAATAAAATAGAAGTTGTACATGTAAATTAACATTATCAATATAAAATAAAGTGTCAGTTGTATCAAGACTATATAATAACAGTAACAACAATAATATAAAATGAACTGGTGAGCATCTTGTCCTCCGTTTCCTGGGCCTTGGTGAACAGCACCATCTGAACCCCGTGCATCGACTCTTTCACCACGGCACGCCGGTCCTCCAACGCCTGGGCGGTGTCCGCTTTCCTAAGAGGGGAAAATAAGCAAGATACAAGATCTGTTTAGTCGCCATGTAGTTTTACAACATACTAGGAATGTTTTTTTGGTATTTTCACAAATAGAATTAAGGTTTCACAAATCTGAAACTGTGTTATAAAGAATGTTTAGCCTCTCTGGGATAATCCAGTCCAGATTTGATGAGTCTAGGTATAGTGGTTTTAGATCAGGACCTGGTCTAATGTGGCCAGGATGCGAAAAAGCACTGAAATCTCCCTTTTTTGTATTTTCCCAAATAGAATTAAGGTTTCACAAATCTCAAACTGTGTTATAAAGAATGTTTAGCCTCTCTGGGATAATCCAGTCCAAATAAACCGGCTATGCAGTGATTTAAGAGGTTCAAACACGGAGGATTGTGCTTCATGTATGCTTGAATTTTGTTTAATGTTGTTGAGGCAAGTTTTCGTACCGGAAGTCATGTGACCTCTAGCCCGGATGTTTACAATGTTTGTGTGAGACATTTGTAAATGCCGGTCTTGGCGAATACGTTTTCACGCTGTTTCATAATTGTACCAAGAAGGAAATAAACATGATTGTGAACATCAGTTCGATGCGTAACGTTCTTTCAAGACAAAGTTACAGTGTGTGTACCTTTGCGTTTGGTTGCTGGTAAGGGGGGCGAGCTAGCGCTGTGATCTAGAATGCAAAGCTCGCTTGTTTCCAATCCTGAGAGTTGTCCATCCTCGCCTGAAACAGACGATTAGTGCCATGAGTTAGTGAAGCAAATTACAGAAACACTACACAGTTATTCACAAGTCAAAACGTTTTCATACAGCCGAGAATATCTAGCTAGCTAGATGTAGCTAGCTCGGGGCCGGTGTTAGCCTATTCCGCCTAGCATGGCTAGCTTGATCTACTGAGCAAATAAAAGTACATCTGAGACCATTATTGTGCAGATTAAAACCCCAGTGCATGTAGTTGATTTTACCTTCGTCGTGGTCGTCATCGTTGGCCACTGAATCCGCCGTTTGTAGTCCTGCCCGAGTTTCTTTATTTTTAGCCGGTGTGTGCCGTGGGGCTGTGCTCATTCCCAGGTCGAGTGAAAGCTACTGAACTGGCTTCAGTAGCATTCCCTGGGTCACGTCCTCGGCGTAGATCTCCAGAAGCGCCGACACCTCCTCATCATTTCTTGATGCTTGCCATAACTGCTTTCAAAAACAAACCCAACGCTCCGTCGGGATTTTGTAGCGAGGGAAAACAATGGCGTCTCCACACAACATTTTTCACAGTTGTACGGGCGTGGTTTGCAATTCGCCCAGCCAATCAGCACTGGGGCACTTTTGAGACACTTTGCACCCTCAGGAAAGTACGCTCTCTCAGCCGGCTCTAAAAATGGGGGTAAAAGTACCCGAGATTAAGTACGATTTTTGGTGTGAACGCGACATAAGGGGTACTCACGGAACTAAAACGCGAAAAGTACGGTGAAAGTACTCCGGTGTGAACGCGGCTATTAGCATCGCTAACACTCAGAGCTAACCTGTACTGGAGAGCATGTGTGTGAAGAAGCAGGAAATAAAAAGGAACTCACCTTGTGGTATAACCGGCAAGAGAGAAAGCCTTTGAGCTCCATACTGTTTCAGAAATAATCCTTGAAGTAATACAAAAAAAAGCTTCTTTAAAATTCATCAGCTCATTGGATTGAAAAACCAAAAAGGAAAATACAAGTAAATATCTGTTGCATTTAGATCCTCCATGTTTTGCTCTTTTTCTCCAAAGATGCACGTTGTCGTCATAAAAAAATCCTTTGGGAACACAAGACTATTCAATAAATACTGCTGTCATTAATACCTGCATAAAGTTGGGAAGAGAGACAGATTTAAAAGTTCCCATTGAATCAATTAAAGCAAATTATTTCTGTTCTGTGCAACAGTTTTACACACAGAAGCTTTTTAACATCTGGTGTTAACACTTTACAAACACTAGATGGCGGAGGTGCACAAAAGTTTAGCAGCTTGTGCCAAAAAAGTAAATGTGCTTCAATTTATTTCCCTCCAACATTTAAACTTTGGCCTTATTTCTGTATTTTATAGAAACACACACATTTATCTTATTAATTCAAAATAAGTGTAGTACACGAACTGTATAACTAATAAGACGTTACTGCACCATCCTTTAAGAGGAGAAAGCAAAGTCATAATCAGTGGTACATTGAATCAAGTACTTGAGTATAATTTTGAGATACTTGTATGACAAACACTTATTTGAGTATTTTGCTACTTTCTACTTCTACTACAGTTCAGAGGTAAAAGGTGTACTTTTACTCCACTACATGCATTTAATTAGTTACTTCACAGATCTGGATGAATGATGTGAAATATAATCAAGTGTTAAATCAGACTTTAGTTCCACCTGGAGTAAATTCACAAGCTACCCTGCAGTATACAAAGTCATTCAAACTAGCTGCACCTTCACCAGCTTTGAGAACACTTTAATGATCAATCATTATAAAACATATCATATATATTATTCTGAAATTGACCAATCTGCACGATGACTACTCTTACCTTTGGTATATTTTGATGCTAATTATTTTTTGTACTTGTAACAGAGTATTGCTACCCTACTTTTACTTAAGATCTACTTGAAGAATATGTTTCCCATCTCTGAATATTTGTCCCCCCATTTCATTGCTCAAATCTCAGGGGCGCGCATTGGCACGTCTTGCAGAAGCTTCGTGGACGCGCAGGGAGTCTCTGCTCCTTTAAGTGAGAAAATAAACTATTCCCCCCCCTTCTCCCCTCCCTCCCTCCCCCCCCCCCCCCTCCCTTCACACCCTGGCGGCCTGCAGAGGGAGGAGGAGGAGGAGGAAGCTCCGGAGCTGCGATGGGGATTTGAACGCACCTCCGCGCATGAAGACAGCGGGGTCCGCCTCACTTTGTGCCCCGGTTTGGATGATTGGATTCGGCCTGCTGACGGAGCTCGTTTGGGGTTGTTCGGTTGTTTTCTCTGGAGGCTGGGAGCAGTGCAGATCTGCGGGGCTGCTGGAGGCGGAGAGTCGCCGTCGGTCGGTTCCGGTGGAGAGACCGGAGGACTCTGCGTGTTTCTGCGTTTCTCTCTTCCACGGGATTAAGTGATTAACGCTCCGGTACCGGGGAGTTGGATGTGTGTTTTGGCCCGAAGGAGACACCTGGAGTCCGGGCGCAGAAACTGGGCCGATGGCGCAACGGGTGCGTAAAAAACAATCAACTTTTATTGGAGAGATGATGAGTGTTTTCAGAATCAAAATTATAGAGGGGAAATGTACAGCTTTACAGCAAAGAGACACAGCTGATAGAGAAAATAAAACGGTGTCAAAACAATCATTTTGACTTCAGCTGCAAAACTAAATAAACTCAGTTTGGATTTAGGAATCACTTTTCTTTAAATGTACACAAAACTAAGCAAACATTATTCACCCTAATTAATAAATGAACTCCTATTTGGTATTATTAGCGGGTTTGTTTTTTTCAACAACGGGTGCTTAAAAATCAACTTTTATGAGAGAGATAATGAGTGTCCTTATTTTGACTCCAACTTACTGGTCAATAAACTCAGTTTGTAGAAAACAAGTAACAACTTTTCATCAAATTAACACAAAACTAAGCGAACAATATTCACACTAATTTATGAATGATATCATATTTGGTGATATGTTTTATTCAACTGTACGTTGTTTTTTAGCTTGATGTTTTCCATTTTAATTTCACAAACTAGTAATGATGTGCGTAAAATATATGAACACTTCATTTAATAGTTTTCTTTTTTAAAACATCTCATTTGTGGTCATACAAATCCACACAGCACTTATCTAAAACTACAACTTGTAATGTGTATAATAAGTATAAAAACAATTGCAATGAAACATTAACGGAGCTTATAAGAAACTATTTTACACTAAATAAGATAAATAAATAAATATATGAGCTGCATTTCAACATTTCTACTAACCTGAACATAGAGTTTAAAGGATCTAATAATTTAAAATGTTATAATAAAGGTTGTTGTAATTTGTGAAAGAAGGTTTTATCATTTCACTGTGAATTGTAGGCCCTTTTTGTTTTGTGACAATAGTTAAAAAGTGTTCTCAGATAAAACTCATAACTTATATTTGCAAACTTCATTAAACTAGATTTTAAGTTCTGATTTCCTGCATTTAGAGGATATTTTATTAGCTTTTTAAGGTTGTTTAAATATCATTTTGTTAATTTATGACAAAAGTTTTCACCTTTAGAAAAAAAGTACTAACTTTGCAAACGTTTCTTTATCACTAAATGAATTGGACGTTTATACCTCCTGTTTGTACCTATTTTATTAGCTTTTCAAAGACATTTAAATATCATTTTGTTGATTTATGACAACATTTTTCAGCTAAAAAGTAGATTTAATCCTCGAATAAAAAGTACGAACGTTGCTAACGCTTCTTTATCCCCAAACTAAAATGATGTCCAAGTTTCCTGTTTGTATCTGAAGTTAGAGGATATTATAAACCGTATTTAAAATGGTTGTATTGTGTGTGTGACCGGGTTCAGTCGCTCCGAGGCCGCTCTGCTTCAGCGGCGGAGAACACACACTTTTATTTGTTTGTTTGTTTGTTTCACGGCTCGTTAAATCTGTTCAGCCGGAACTGATGGAGCTCAACACACAAACACTTCGATACACTTTGCTTAAAAGACTTATTTAATAAACATCTCTTTCTTATATAAGATCGTTTTTATCCTCACTGACGGCCGGTCACCGAGGTCAAAGTTTAAACTGCGTTTCATTGATTTCTGATCGGCGGTCTGTGTGATCCGAGCCCATATAAAGAGACGCTTTAAAGAGAGCTTATTAAAACTTTTCCTAACTTTATTTAACTTTACATTTTAAATATCTGACGTATTATATGGTCACAGTGATGACCTGGAGCTGCTCGTTAAATGTTAGTTAGAAAAAGGGAACTAAGAGCAACAATAGCAATATTTTAAGAAAAAGTAATGGGAAATAATTCCAGTTATTGAAATTAACTTTACGATCCTTTTTTGGCTTTATTGATATATTAACACAGTCTGGAAGGCATTCAAAAGTTTAAGTAAACACAAATATACACATTTTACATATAGAAGTTTCTACTGGAATACAACTAAACTCTTGTTTTTATTTTGAAATTAAAACCGATTTTTAATTACATTGACTTTTCCCATTGATTAGATATGAGACTAAACACGTTATACGTTTTTTTAATTAGTCTGATTTCTAATTAAATTAAATTACACGAATGAAGACACATAGAGACACATAAACACGGTGTTTAAAAATAAAAACAAAAATAAGTTGTTTAACCTTTTAGATCTCAGCATTTTTTTTGTTTAACAACAATATCTGTTTTTATATCTTGTTAGAAATACACTAACTTAAATAGTTCAGGCATAAACATTTATGATCAAATTCTGTTTTATTTCTATACAATGTAATATCATTGTTTGCTGCAGAGTGAGGTTAAGAAAATGTAGAGGGGGTGGAAAATATGACTATTATTAAAAAATGAATTGTATAGTGAATAAGGCAGTGGGATATATAAGATTCATTATGTTCAGAGAGTCCTCATTTTAACCTAGTGTATGTATTTACATCATGTGTTAAAGGTAGCATATTATGCAAAAATGCACTTCTTCATGTCTCTTCTACATCAACATGTGTCCCCTCTTCTTCATGTCTCTTCTACATCAACATGTGTCCCCTCTTCTTCATGTCTCTTCTTCATCAACATGTGTCCCCTCTTCTTCATGTCTCTTCTACATCAACATGTGTCCCCTCTTCTTCATGTCTCTTCTACATCAACATGTGTCCCCTCTTCTTCATGTCTCTTCTACATCAACATGTGTCCCCTCTTCTTCATGTCTCTTCTACATCAACATGTGTCCCCTCTTCTTCATGTCTCTTCTACATCAACATGTGTCCCCTCTTCTTCATGTCTCTTCTACATCAACATGTGTCCCCTCTGTGTAAAGAGACTCTGAAAGTTTCATGAAAAAAGATTCTCTCTCTTTTTGTCCTGATCCATTTCTATAAAAACCTGTCTGAAAATGAGCTGATCAGATTTTGGCCACTTAATGATGTCATAATGTTTTTTTGGCTTGTGTAACCATTAGCCACTCACCAACCAAGGTAACCCCCCCCCCCCCCCCCCCTTATCACCTGAATCTCCTCCTAGAGCACCATTGAGTTCTTTTTAACCAAATCTCTCTCAGAGGGGCGTGGGGAGGGGCTCCTTATTCTCATCTAAAGTAACAGACAGAGAATCAGCACTTTGGAAACAGGGCTGAAACAGAGGGGATTATGGGATGCTGCAATGATCTGTTTGGTGTTTCAGCCAATCAGAGACATGCTCTGTATATATCTGAGACATATAATATATTGATGAAAAACAGTATAATAGGGGACCTTTAAAGTGTTCATGTTATTTTGTCCACCCCCTTTATACACGATTCCCTCAAATATAAGCGTATTTTTTAATTTTTTATGTTGAGGGTAAAGATAGCTTTGAATGTACTGTTATACATTTTTATGATGTCATCTAAAAACATAACTGTGTTCAGTCGTTAAACCTTTGATCATGTCAGACCAAATAAACAGGGGGTGGACAAAATAATATGAACACCTGTGCAGTGCAATCTTAGCCAGTTTAGTTTTGTTTGTCAGAGACGTTTTAATTCCCCGGTGTCTTTAGATGTTAATGTCATTTTGTTAATATCTGTGTTTAATGTGTAAAACGGCACAAAGTAGGATCACTGCTCTGCTTCAAGGTGCTTTTATTTTAATCCAGCTCACTAAATGACTTGTTTTATCTTTTTTATGGAGACTAAGATAATAATGTGTGACCAAAAATACTATAAGGTCGTGAGAATAGGATTTTTAATCACAGAACGCTGCGTTTAAATGTCTCAAAACGTGTTATATTCCAAAAGCATTACAGTGTTTGTCATATTAGAGAAAGTAAACGGGGGTGGACGAAATAACAGAAACACCTGTTGCCTATTATGTTTTTTTTTCCGTTGACAGAGGCGTTGACTCTTCTCTCTGGTCTCTCTTGAAGTTTTGTCCCATTTGAATATATATAATATTCATTATATTTTTGCATGTTGGAGGTTTGTTTTGTTTTACATAAATGGAAAAATCCCCCACCTCTTCCTTACATTTCAGCATCAACGCACTTTACATAAAACATCAAAAGCATTGAGATAAAGTGCTAAGAGACGCATTATTAAAGGGTATTTAAATACTATTTAAAACAGTCATTATAAAGCCAAGAACATAGAAAAAAACTAAGAGTAAATAAGAATCAATAACTGAAGAGACCAGGTCTTTTTGATTTTACAAATAACTCCGTCAGGTTCGGGTTTCTTTTATAAAATCGACTTTGATTTTTGCATCTGTTGAGTTCAGTTTGTCTCATTTTCTCGTGTTCATTATGCCATAACTCAAGGGGACATTTTAACATAGACGTTAAGATGTAAATGAGGGGTCAGTTGGAGGTCAGAGTAGATGTTTACCAAGGTTGGGAAAAAACAAGAAACTATCTCAAGCAATATTTAAGGTTACTGATCAGTACATGCATGACTTCTCAGGTTATTTTGTAATACGTATGTCAGGTTTGTTTCTTCTTTAGCTCATGATAATGCACATTTATGCCACATTGCATTTCATGTTTTATTATTGGGCCCCTTAACCTTTCCAAAAGTGCTTTAGATTTAGTAGGATTTCTTCGAGCAAGCCTTTTTAAAACTAATTATGCTTTGTGGACAAAATAAGGGACGTTTTTTTTTTCCTCCAATTTTTATTGAACATTTCCAAAGACATCAGTAAAAGGCGACCTCACATCAATGTCATATACTGAAATCAAACTGAGGGCATTACGAACAGAAAACAGAAGGAAGAATAAATCACAAGTGAAAGAAACAAAACGTAAATTAAGGTGCATAGAAATGTGTTAAATGGTTGTTTTGGTTGTTGTATTGCAACATTCAATTAATGTATAGTTTTGTGTCATTAAGAAAAAACCAATAAATACTGGAGACATTTTAATAAAGCGACATTTGTGAACAAAATACTTTTGCCAAAATAGTGTCCCCAGGGAAAATGAGACCGACTGTATCATCACACAAAAACATCTTCACCCTGCTTTTAAACACAGTTAGTTTTATCGTTCACATTTATCTGCATTTGCCCTTTCTCTGGGGTCAGAGAACACCTCTTAAAGGTCAAAGGTGACCCCTCACTTATCTGCGTTTCAGTATGAAGACCTGGCTCACAAACCGATAAATACTGGAGAACTTTTAAGGGAACGACATTTGTAAATGAAATATTTTAACCAACATATTCATATAGGGACATGTCCCCATCATCCCAGTGAAAATCACACCTATGCATAGGAGTCATTCATACTGGGAACGCTGGGAGCATATCCCTACTACTTTTGGAAATAGCCAATTATGTTCCCACCCCTTTGCATTAGGATAATTTATTTAAAATGTTCTGAAGTTAGCGTGCATACAGAATTTGTTTGTGTACATATCTGTGTTGGCCCTTTCCTCTTGTTTCAGCGAACACCTCCTAAGGGTCAAAGGTGACCCCTCTCTTATCTGTGTTGCAGTATGAAGACCTGGCTCACAAACCGATAAATACTGGAGAACTTTTAAGGGAGGGACTATTGTGAATGAAATATTTTAACCAACATAGTGGTATAGGGACATGTCCCCAGCATCCCAGTGAAAATCACACCTATGCATAGTAGTCATTCATACTAGGAACGCTGGGACATGTCCCTACTACTGTTTTCTACTTTTGGAAATGTCCAATTATGTCTCCACCACTTTGCATTAGCATCATTTATTTAAAATGTTCTGAAGTTAGCATGCATGCATAATTTGTTTGTGTACAAATCTGCGTTTACCCTTTCTTCTGTGTCAGTGAACACCTCCTAAAGGTCAAAGGTCACGCCTCTCTTATTCAAGGGTCAAGGCTTTTATTGTCATGTGTGCATAGCTACAGTGTAGTTATGTCAATGAAAATCTTAGGTCACAGGCTCCTCCAACAGTGCAACACAATAAAACAGATAATAGTGCAAGTAAATAAAATAGAATAGAATATAATAGAAATAGTACAGAGTAGTCTATATACAAGTAACTGGAATATTGATATATATGAGTTGCAAACAGATGAATGTTATGGATGTTCTTTCAAAAGCTCCGGTGTTTAACAGTCTTACGTTGACCCTTCCCTTGGGGTCAGTGAACACATCCTAAAGGTCAAAGGTCACACTTCTCTTATCTGTGTTTCAGTATGAAGACCTGGCTCACTACGGGCTGGAGGGGTTGGGTGGGATGTACGGAGACCCTCACCATCATCATCATCACGCCGCTGCCCGCTCGCTGCACATGGCCGCCGCCGCCGCTGCTGCTGGTCCGTTCCCCCCCCACCAGTTCTCCCAGTCCACACACACCAGCGGCAGCAGCATGGGGCCCGGGGACGCCGTCAAGAGGGACAAAGACGCCATTTATGGGTAAGATAATAATAATAATAATAATAATAATAATAATAATAATAATAATAATAATTGTATTATTTATTATTTGTTTATTCCACACAAGGCAGTTATTTTAAAGGTCACCTATTATGCAACATTTTCCTGTCTCTTCTACATCACCATGTGTCCCCTCTTCTTCATGTCTCTTCTACATCAACATGTGTCCCCTCTTCTTCATGTCTCTTCTACATCAACATGTGTCCCCTCTTCTTCATGTCTCTTCTATATCACCATGTGTCCCCTCTTCTTCATGTCTCTTCTATATCAACATGTGTCCCCTCTTCTTCATGTCTCTTCTATATCAACATGTGTCCCCTCTTCTTCATGTCTCTTCTACATCAACATGTGTCCCCTCTTCTTCATGTCTCTTCTACATCACCATGTGTCCCCTCTTCTTCATGTCTCTTCTACATCACCATGTGTCCCCTCTTCTTCATGTCTCTTCTACATCAACCTGTGTCCCCTCTTCTTCACGTCTCTTCTACATCAACATGTGTCCCCTCTTCTTCATGTCTCTTCTACATCAACATGTGTCCCCTCTTCTTCATGTCTCTTCTACATCAACATGTGTCCCCTCTTCTTCATGTCTCTTCTACATCAACATGTGTCCCCTCTTCTTCATGTCTCTTCTACATCAACATGTGTCCCCTCTTCTTCATGTCTCTTCTACATCAACATGTGTCCCCTCTTCTTCATGTCTCTTCTACATCAACATGTGTCCCCTCTGTGTAAAGAGACTCTGAAAGTTTCAGGAACAAAGATTCTCTCTCTTTTTGTCCTGATCCATTTCTATAAAAACCTGTCTGAAAATGAGCTGATCAGATTTTGGCCACTTTATGATGTCATAACGATTTTTTGGCTTGTGTAACCATTAGCCAATCAGCAACCAAGGTACCCCCTCCCCCCCCCCCTTATCACCTGAATCTCCTCCTAGAGCACCATTGTGTTCTTTGTAACCAAATATCTCTCAGAGGGGCGTGGGGAGGGGCTCCTTATTTTCATCTAAAGTAACAGACAGAGAATCAGCACTTTTGAAACAGGGCTGAAACAGAGGGGATTATGGGATGCTGGAATGATCTGTTTGGTGTTTCAGCCAATCAGAGACATGCTCTGTATATATCTGAGACCTGTAATAAATTGATGAAAAACAGTATAATAGGGGACCTTTAAAACAAAACATGTACACTTATACTGGTTGTTTTGTTTTATAGCGCATGGTGGAAAGGAGCAGGGAGAAGAACATCTTATTTGACCTGCCCCTTCTTACAAAAAATAAAATAATAAAATGAAATAAAAGCAATATTTTTTCAGTCACAGTTGCTTACAAATACTGAAACATAAACCCAGAACACAATCAAAAGTCAACTTCGTACTGTCTAATACGCTTTCTTTATTTCCTTAAACATAAAAATGGTCTTACAGCCCTTTAAATCATTCGGCAAATAATTCCACTTCTTTACGCCAAGAGACACACATCTGCTTTAAAGTAGTACGTGCAAACTGATGCTTACAATTTAAGCATTAATAATAATAATCTTAATTTGTATAGCACCTTTCATACAACAAGTGCATGTCCAAAGTGCTTCACATAGACATTTCACGATATCAGACAGAATACAGTTACCAATAAAAGACATAAGAACAAACAAAAAATAGCACAGATTAGACATATAAAAAAATACTTTTAATTAAAATAAAGGTGTGCAAAGCAGGAGTTTGCTTCCTAAAAGGCTAAATTGTACAAAGGTGTTTTGAGGTTTCTTTAGATTTCTTTCTTTAAGATGGGTTCACTGACGAAAGACAAAAACACACATCATGATGACGTGGCAACTTTTTCAGGAGAGTGAAAACCTTTTTTTTTTTTTTTCTGGGTTTAGCTTCACGTTTGATTTATCTGTTTGACTTTCAACGGCAAGGCGCTGAGCTTTTCCGTTCCAGACCAACATTATCTGTGAGTTTGTTTGATGAAGTGCTGCTTGATCACAAAGAAGACAAAACTCAAAAATGTGGCTCAACAGATTCAAGGCTTTTATTGTCATGTGTTCATAGCTACAGTGTAGATATGTGGATGAGAATCTGAGGTCACAGGCTCCTCCAACGGTGCAACACAATAAAACAGATGAAATAGTTAAAATAGTGCAAGTAATACAAATAAAATAGAATAGAAAGAGTGCAAGGAGAGTCTACAAGAGTGACGTAAAAAGTATTTTCAGATCCTTAAGTCCAATAATCACAATATTACTTCAGTAAAAGTACAAGTCTTGAAATGAGCAGAAAGTATCAAATTCAAAGTTCACAAACTAACAAAAAACAAACAGATAAGGACAAAAAGGCAGGACACTTCTTTCTTGATGTAGTTTCATTCCAGGCCGAGCTGAGCCAGACTAACATTATCTGAGTTTGTGTGATGAAGTAACTCTGAGGTCAAAACTGAAAAATGCAGCTGAATTGTTGGCGGAAAAAGTGACTTACCTCAATATACTTAAAGGGGACCTATCATGCAAAATGCACTTTTATACATAAATATGTGTCCCCGGTGTGTCAGGGAACTCACGCAGCGTCAGAAAATAAAACCCTCTCTCTTTTCCTCCGTACCCACATCTTTTAAAAACGGGGGTACAACGAGCTGATCCAGATTTGCTGCCGATATTACGTAATTTCGGATGGTGGACCCACAGAGAGTTGCTATCAGAAACAACGCCTGACGTGTTTTGGACGTAATCTCGTCTTTGTTTACATTAGCAAGCCTCGCTAATACTCAGAGCTAACCTGTACTGGAGAGCACGTGTTTAAAAAGCAGGAAATAAAAAAAGGAACTCACCTTGTGATAAACCTGCAAGAGAAAAAGAATTTGAGCTCCATACTGTTTCAGAAATATTCCTTGATGTGGTTTAGAACAGGATGGCGTTTTATCACAGCAGAATTTTACTTTATCTCCGGTAGCATTCTGATCAGGCATTAGCTCCGCCTCCTCTTTTTTTTTTTTTTAAAGCTAAGGACCCACAATCCGCGTTTCTCTCAAGCCCCCAGGAAGTGCGCCGGACTCTGTGTCCGATATTCGTTGTGTCCAAACGGCGGTACTGCAACTTCCGTATCAGTCCGTGACGTCACCCGGCCCAAAACAACTTTTAACTTTTAACTAAATAAACTACCCAGTATGAACTATTTTATAGCCCTTATTAGAATCATTCGGTCCTTAAAGTTGTAAAATGCACTAAAAGCCGAATCTAGATTTATTTTCTCTCTCCATTCATTCTAGTGAGCCGAGAGTGGGAGCTCGGGGGCGGGGCTTAAAGGGCGCATGCTCTGTGAGCGCACATACGGGTTCTTCTGCTCTGACAGCCAGGCATGATGGGTAATCTGTGACGTTTCGCTCTCTCAAAAGTTGGGCCAATGAGCAGCTCTCATAGGAAAGAACGAGACCCCGCCTCCCACGCTGTATTCAGTTCTTATTATACATCCATGGTTTCTCTAAACAGGGCTGGAATAGAGGGATATAAGGGATGTCTGAAATGCATGATCTGTTTGTATTTTGAGAAAAACACATCATAGACATGTTTTTATATATTTTTATATATCTGAGACCCATAATATATGCCTAAAAATAGCATGATAGGAGATCTTTAAGTGAAAGTAGCAACATCTCAGTGTAAAACTCAAGCAAAGTCTTGAAACTGAGTATGACTTGCGTACAAATATATGAAAACTACTGGAGCAGCAAAAGGAAGAGAACTCGTGATGCAGAAAAATAACTCCTGTCAGAAATGACATTTATGGGTACGCTGAGTTCACTGACACTGTGAAAAGTACAACAAAAACACACAACTGATGACAAAAGCTTCTTTCAGGACAGTTTCTTCCTCTGTAAAAACTTGTTCTGTGTTAGGGTTAAGGTCAGGTTTGATTTATCTGTTTGACTTCTCTCTGTCGGGGCTTTTCCATTCCAGGCCGAGCTGAGCCAGGCCAACTTTATCTGTGAGTTAGGTTGATGAAGTGAAGCCTGCTGCTAGATCACAAGGAGGTCAAAACTGAAAAATGTGTCTCAAAAGTGAAGAAAACAGTTTTTTCAGCTCCTTGACTTTAAGAAAAGTAGCCACACATCGATGTTGAAGTCCTGCAATCACAATATTTGTTTGGTAATAGTCAAAATCTTGTATATAAGTGAGAGCAGCAAGTATCAAAATCAAAAGGACACATTATACATGGATGATGAGTTCACTGACACTTTAAAAAGCACAACAAAAACACACACCTAATGAGGACAGAAAGCTCTCTGAGGACAGTTTTCTTCTTCTGTGAAAACGTTTTCTTTCCAGACAAACATTATCAGTGAGTCAGTGGTTAAGAGACTTGATAGCAAGGAGGTCAAAACTGACAAATTTGGCTCGATAGTGGCGGTATTTCCAGCTCCATAACTTCAGTAAAAGTAGCAACACCTCCATGTAAAAGTCCTGCAATCAAAAGTATTAACGATGGGTACTTGTATGACAGTCTGAGCTGATCCCTCTTCCTCTTCCTCCTCTTCCTCTCTCTCCTGCAGGCATCCTTTATTCCCTCTCCTCGCACTGATTTTTGAAAAATGTGAATTGGCGACGAACACGCCGAGAGAGAGCGGCGTGGCCGGAGGAGACGTCTGCTCCTCGGACTCCTTCAACGAGGACATCGCCGTGTTCTCCAAGCAGGTACAGGAACACGCTCTTCATCCATGTGCTGGAGATAATAAAGAACAGATCTGCGCAAATGTGTTTTAGGCCCCTGCTGAACCCAGATTTATCCCACTTCTTGTGGATTGTCTGTTTATTTTTCTGGAAGAAGGCAAGGCAAGTTTATTTATATAGCATCTTTCAACAAAAGGCAATTCAAAGTGCTTTACTGAAAGCATTAAGATATAGTGCAACAGAATCATAGACAAGAAGAATAGTTTACTTAAAAAAGGGGAAATCGAAAGTCCTGCAATAACAGTAGGTCTTTTCAGCAAAATGTACTTTAAAGTTTTAAAAGTATAAAGCTACTCTCTGTGCACAATACAGAATGAGAATATTATGATCAATGCACTAATGTGAGAGCAGCATTTTAAAGTGATCGATGTTTAAGCTGGATTGGTTTTAACTTCAGTCTTGTAGCTTGATATGTAGCTATTAAGTGCATATTAGGACTTTATAGCATGTACCCATTTAAAGGTCCCATGTCATGCTTTTCCGGTTATTACCCGTCCCCTTGTGTGTTATGTAGCTTTTTCTGCATGTAAACGGTCTGCAGAGTCACAAACCCTCAAAGTACACCCTGTAGTGAGTAAAACTCTAACACAGAAAAGACCTGTCTATGCTGCCCCAGAACACCTCGTTGGAGATTTCTCTTTTTCCATTGTTTACTTCTTGGGTATAGTGACGTATTTCGGGTATAGTTACGTTAGGTCCGCGGAGCCGTTACGTTTGGACCAATCCGCGGACTTCCTCACACACACACACTCGGCGGGACGTTGCGAGGCTCACTGCTGCGAGGAGCGGGACAGTGTGAGCTGGCTCACTGGAGTGGGGTCGGCGAGACAGCAAGACACCGCGGAACTCAGTCTGGGCACACACACAAACTCCCAGCCAGGCTGCGGGTGTGTGTGTGTTTCGGGCTGGGTTCCGCGGTGTCTCGCTGACGGCCACTGGGCTCACAGGGAGGGGGGGGGCAGGAGCTCCAACAAGCCATGTAGGACAGAGAGTGAATACACATACTATACAGAGATGCTGTATGAGAAACCAAAGTGAGTTTGGAAAATTGCACAATATAAATCTATTCTAGTAGACCTCAACAATGGAATTATGATCAGTAGAAATGGCCATGACATGGGACCTTTAAAGTCAGCATGACCCATTAACAAGTTGTTTAGAACTGCAATTATCATGCAACTAATATACCCTCCAGTATCTTCCGCTACAATTTCTTTGTTTTGTTGTTGTTTACCTTGTTTTTCTCGCCTTGGCAACTATCCGGTCCCAGCTGTGTGCGTCACTCTTTAGTGTCCCCTGGTTTCCGTTGTGTTTTGAGCTTCATGCTGTGTTTAGTTTCTGCAGCACTTTTAGTAAACATATTAAATGTTTTGTCAAGTTTGTGAATGTTTTCTAAATGCTGCGTATGTGTTGTGAAGTTTGTGAAGATGTTTCTTCATTTGCATGTTGCATTGTTTTTATAAAATGCACGGAGCGTTTGCACCTCTCGGCCACCGTAGAACAGACTCATACATTTGACCTCATTGTCAGTGAAACATGCAAGCCTTGATGACAATAACTAATTTGATTATAGGCTTATTATTCTAATAATAATAAACATGGAAAGCGGTTAAGCTGAAATCAAAAGTTATCAACCAACGCATTGAGCTAAAATGTGGTAATATGTTAGCATCCTGCAGCTCATGATATCTGCTAGATGAGAGGGTTGGTTATTTCAGATGGAAAGTTGAACTGCAGCTCCTCAAACTAACTATGAAACGTATTGTTAATTCTGAATGTTTAATTGTAAATCCTCCAGGGATAGTACATCTGCTAGGGTTCTTGTATTTGACTAGAAACTCAAATCAACAGGGCAGTGGGCTGTGTTGTTTACTAATCATAATACATATTTGTTCTGTGTCTAGTTACGATCAGAGAGGCCTTTATTTTCAGCAAACCCAGAGCTGGATAATTTGGTGAGTGACTTCAAGAGTTTAAATATTTAAATTCAAAGTGTTTATTTTTGTCTCAGTTGTTCATTATTATCACTTATTTGTTTGTTGTTTTTTCTGTAGATGGTCCAGTCGATACAAGTGCTTCGCTTCCACCTCCTGGAGCTCGAGAAGGTCAGACTCGTCTCAGTGACCTTAGACTTTTTATTTTAATAAACACTCAAGAACAATGTCGACACGCTGGATTTTACTTAAGCAAATCACTTGAGTATATGACACAAAGTGCACAAATATCCCAAAATGTTGACCTAACATTTTAAAAAGTATTGTCTGAGTTGAGATTGTTTTTTATTCTTAAAGGTCACCTATTATGCAAAATCCACTTCTTCATGTCTCTGCTACATCAACATGCGTCCCCTCTGTGGAAAGAGAGTCTGAAAGTTTCAGGAACAAAGATTCTCTCTCTTTTTGTCCTGATCCATTTATATAAAAACCTGTCTGAAAATGAGCTGATCAGATTTTGGCCACTTTGTGATGTCATAACGATTTTTTGGCTTGTGTAACCATTAGCCAATCAGCAACCAAGGTAACCCCCCCCCCCCCCCCACCTTATCACCTGAATCTCCTCCTAGAGCACCATTGTGTTCTTTTTAACCAAATATCTCTCAGAGGGGCGTGGGGAGGGGCTCCTTATTTTCATCTAAAGTAACAGACAGAGAATCAGCACTTTTGAAACAGGGCTGAAACAGAGGGGATTATGGGATGCTGCAATGATCTGTTTGGTGTTTCAGCCAATCAGAGACAGGTTCTGTATATATCTGAGACCTGTAATATATTGATGAAAAACAGTATAATAGGGGACCTTTAATATCTTTCTTAATTTCCAGGTCCATGAGCTGTGTGATAACTTCTGCCATCGATACATCAGCTGTCTGAAAGGGAAGATGCCGATCGATCTGGTGATGGACGACAAAGACGGAAACAAGTCGGACAGCGAGGACTTCCTCCGGTCGTCGGGGAACAACATGGATCAGGTGAGTCCAGAGGCCTGTACTACTGTCAGTACGCTTGTCCATGTTTGTGATTGGCCAAATGTTGCTAACCCCGCCCCTTTCATGTGAACGCGCACATAACTAGATAGGGCAAAGCTGGCTTGAGTTAACGAGTTGATAACCAGCGTCGTGGGACCGCTTAGCGAGAGCGCGTTTGTTTTGGATTAGGTAAGCTGGGTAACTCAAACATATCCAGGGTATGTTGAACTGGATTCGTAGTACAGGCCTCTGGAAACTCACAGACATAATACAAATACAATTGATTTATATAGCACCTTTCATGCTTGACGCAGCCCAAAGTGCTTTACACTTTTAAAAGTGAAACATTGGAGGATCTATCCTTGCAGGTTGATACAATGAGAGACAGTCACTTACATATGTTGGGGCAAGGTTATGTAAAGCCTGTAAATCATTAAAAGCACTTTAAAATCAATCCTGAAGGACACCGGTAACCATGCAGTGATTCCAGCACAGGCGAAATGTGGTCTCTTTTGTGTGTGGAGACATTTATTCTCCCGCTGACGTCCACAGTGTCAGGGCAGAATAAGAAAGAGCAGATACACAGATCACTTTTATCCAGGAAATAAGTCATATATCCAATTTTTTTAAAGAGTTACAGGTGTTTTGTTTGTGACTGGATGCATAAAAGTAAAAAAAACGATGCAGTTTTTGTAGGTACACATTCATGATTAGTAATGTGTTTTGATCAAGGTTCACTTAAAGTGTACAGGTTTTATTTGAGAAGTTAAGTATTCAGAAGTTAAAGGTCACCTATCATGCTATTTCTAGCCAATAGCATAGGTCTCAGATATATACAAATATAGAAAAAACATGTCTATGAAGTGTTTTGCTCAAAATACCAAACAGATCACCCATTCTAGCCATGCCTCATATCCCTCTATTTCACTTCCTGTTTGAAAAGTGCTGATTTGGGGTATAAAGCTTTAATAAAAAAAGAAAAATTGCGGGACCCGGCAGCTACCGTCTAAACTAAATACTGCCGTGATGAAACGCCATATCATGGATTATCAAGGATTATTTCTGAAACAGTATGGAGCTCAAAGGCTTTCTCTCTTGCAGGTTATACCACAAGGTGAGTTCCTTTTTATTTCCTGCTTCTTCACACACATGCTCTCCAGTACAGGTTAGCTCTGAGTGTTAGCGATGCTAATGTAAACACCGACCATATTACGTCCAAAACAGTCGGGCATTGTTTCTGATAGCAACGTTTCTGATAGGGCCGTGGGTCCACATTTAAAATATTACGTCATATCGGACGCAAATCTGGATCAGCTCCGTTGTAGCCCCGTTTTTAGAGATTTGGGTACGGAGGAAAAGAGAGAGGGTTTTTTTTTCTGACACTTCTTGAGTTCCCCGACACACCGGGGACACATATTTATGTATGAAAGACATCAAAAAGTGCATTTTGCATGATAGGTCCCCTTTAAACAATGTTGATGCAATGTTTTTATTGTTACTTAATTTAACTTTACAGCCAATCTGTAGTATAACTTCCATAGTTCTCCTGCTGACGGCCACAGTGTCATGGCAGTATTAGAAAGAGCAGATACACGGATCACTTTTAATAATGAAATAAATCATGTATACCATTTTTAAAAGAAGTTACAGGTGTTTTGTTAGTGAATAATGCCTAAAAGTCTAAACACTATCCAATTTGTGTAGGTACACATTCAAGTGTAAAGGTTTTGTTAGGGAAGTTCAGTATTCAGAAGTTAAACAATGTTGATGCAATGTTTTATTGTTACTTAATTAAACTTTACAGCCAATCTGTAGTATAACTTCCATAGTTTCAACAGTAACGACTTAAACGGCAACTTATATTCTTTGGTACAATAGTGATGAAATTATGTGCGCAAAAAACTAAACAACACTTTTTTGTCAAACTACAGTATATTACTCCAATTCTGGCTTAAATCTTAGCAGCTCTGCAGGGTTTGTTAAACAAAACCAAAATGTTTAAATCCTCCCAAAACAGTTTTTATTGTCCCTGCGTTCGTCTGTCTAACCACAGATCACACATTGATCTTTTCTCTTTTCTTCTCTTGGGCGATGAAGACTTTCCTCTTTTTTCCCAGAGAGACAGAAACTAAGGAGTCGGGTCGTGAAGCTCTCAGCAGCCACTTGTCAGCCTTTAACCCTTTAAACACCGCAGTGTGAACTCCTGCAGCTCAGTGTCGGGTGACCGGATTCATTTTCACGTTGCCTCTGGTCCTAATGTGTTAATCTCCATCTTTGTTACTGAGTGGGTGTTTGCACCAATCACCTGTCAATCAAAGACACTGGGTGCCACAAGGTGCTTTTTAAAATAGTCAGAAACTAATGAAATCAATTCATATCATGCTCTTTTTACTGCACTGTTATTACAGTTTTATTATTATTATTATGCTGCTGTGTTTATTGTATTTTTGTAACTCTGGCACAACAATTTCCTTCAGGATAAATAAAGTCCTATCTTATCTTATCATATGATGATTTACATAAAATACTTTGCAAAGAAGTTCAGTAGATAAATGTTAAATCTATTTACATTGTTGTGACTTTCAAACTATTGTATTTTTGTAGGTGTCCCTTGCATTTAAACAACAATAATGAAAACAAACACTCACATTTTTGTCTTATAGTATTTGCCGTCCTACAGTACCTACCTCTTTTTGTCTCAACCATTTATTATGTGATTGAAAACCAACACCATCAAACACAAGCTTTTAATCAGTGGAACACTTTTTATTCAAGGGGCTGTGTTATGCTCATTATCTGATCTGTGTCTCGTTGGTTTTCCTCTCTGCAGATTTCATGGAGCAAAGATCAAGATGACGCAGCATCGATTCGTTCGGCCGGGACGCCGGGACCGTCCAGCGGAGGACACACGTCTCACAGCGGAGACAACAGCAGCGACCACGGTGAGACAATACTACACGTATACACAAAGATGGCAAAGTACACACATCCTTTACTCAAGTAGAAGTACAGATACTCGTGTTCAAAAATACTCTGGTGAAAGTAGAAGTACTGACTAAACTTCTTTACTCAAGTACAAGTAAAGAAGTATGGGCTTTGAAATGTACTTCAGTAAAAAGTACCCATAACTAGCAGCTGTTTTAAAGAGTACCTGACCTCCCTTTATATTAATAGAACAATAATGTCATTGTTAGCTAATGAATGTTTCCATGCTGAACAACGGCAACATGACAACGTTTTCATTGGTCCCTCTTCTTTAGAGAAGACCAGGAAATGATGGATACACGGATCGTGTTCAAATCAATAGGCACGCAATGACTCTAAATAATAATGATCACGCCACCAAACACACATTCAAACTAAAGGAACCAGCCTGTTTGGAAAATGTAAGAAGTAGAAAGTACAGGTATTTGTGTTCAACATGTAAGAAGTAGAAAGTTCAGGTATTTGTGTTCAACATGTAAGAAGTAGAAAGTTCAGGTATTTGTGTTCAAAATGTAAGAAGTAGAAAGTACAGGTATTTGTGTTCAACATGTAAGAAGTAGAAAGTTCAGGTATTTGTGTTCAAAATGTAAGAAGTAGAAAGTTCAGGTATTTGTGTTAAAAATGTAAGAAGTAGAAAGTACAGGTATTTGTGTTCAAAATGTAAGAAGTCAAAGTAAAAAGTCGTCAGAAAAATAAGTAGTGGAGTAAAGTACTGATACCAGAAGAATGTACTTAAGTACGGTAACGAAATATTTGTACTCCACTACTTCCCACCTCTGCGTATACATCCATTAATATATCTTCTGTGTGTTTTACAAATGTGTATGAATTCTATGAATGCCAGTGGGGGAGGATGCTATATTGAGATCCTTTCATTTAGGTAATTCTCCACGTATGAAAGTTTGTGTCTCTAAAAAGTCACATTTTCACGAGTTTGTCAGAAAAACATCCATGTTTTCAGCTTTGTGACGATGCATTTTCCAGCTGATCCAAAAGGGTTTTTAAAGACTTTATTCAGCTTAAGAAGTAGGAGAGTTTGTCCTTCAGCTTTTCAGAAACATTGATGAATAAAACGTGTGGGAATAGATGGTTTATGCTGGACAGGAAGGGTAGAGACCTGTAAACTGAAAAGGTGTCAGAGAAATGTAAAAAATACAGTACTAAGTTCCTCGAATTTGTACAGTACTATTAGTAGTGTGTGTGTGTGTGTGTGTGTGTGTGTGTGTGTGTGTGCGTGTGCGTGTGTGTGGTTTATGAAGGGTGGCAGAGGTTTTCAGACGTGACGGTGGAGGAAAAGAGGTTTGAGTTAGAGAGTGATGAAGGCTGACAGACGACCTGAGCAACGAGAGGAGCTGAAAGAAAGAGAGCTTTATGTCCCAGAACACACACACACACACACACGCACACGCACGCACGCACGCACGCACGCACACTGGAATAGAAATAACACATCATGCAGAGCACACACGTGTACTAACAGAATTCATATACGTTCACATTTGAAACTGTTTAAACACACACAGAGTACACACTTAAACAAACGGACTCTAAAACACAAATATACTGTACATGTAGAAATACACACTAAACTTCCACAAAGTGTTTCCATTAGCTTTACTTTAAATTGATTCTTTAAAAAAAATGTGTCTCCAATCTGACTGTCTGCACATTATAGCATGGAGACGTTAGTGCTTTTATTTCAATATGGTTAAAAAGAAACCGATTTGATTGGCTGTTTGGGAAGAAAGTTAAAACAACACACAATATTCAGACTATAGCTGCAGCAATTCATTAAAAAAAAGTACATTTTAAAGTCAATAAAACAAGTTATTCTTCATGCAAAGATGGCAGAAAAGGTTATTTTTAGACACTCAATTATATCGTTTTCTTTCTTTTCTGTGAATATTGTTATGTTTGATAAAGACAAGACATTTAAACTAGACATTGGGAAACTAGGATTGGCATGTTTCTATTTTTTTCTTACTTTAAACAGACCAAAAAATGAATCTTATACCCTGAAGATTAATCCATTTAAACTAACTGTTAGCTGCAGCTCCTATTCATACCAATAAAAGTGAAGAATAAGAGTCGTCAGTAGACAAAACTTAAAATATAAATGTTCCTCCCTGTTGTTTAGTAATTTGATTTCAGTCACATTCAAAATTAGGGACCATTTGATTATTCTTGTAAATGTGAATATTTGCACATCATCTTGTTTAAAATGACTGTAAACTTAATTTTTATATATCAATATACCAAGTTTTTTGACGTTTTACAGACAACAATCAATTTCCTCATTAATTAGGAAAAATGGTTGGCAACTTTATTGAAACAAAACAATGACGACTTGACGCCACATACAAACACATAAAGTATAATGATAGAAAAACTGAAACTTATTTTGGTATAGTAAACACGCACACACTAAATGCAGTCACCCTTTAAAACACACACACGCACACACACACACATACACACACACACACACACACACACACACACACACACACACACACACACACACACACACACCACACACACACACACACACACACACACAGCGGGTGCAGCAGTTCTGGCTTCATGCATCTGTGAGCGCGCCAACCGAAACAAGCCCTGCTGTTTTCTATCTGCTGCACACTTTTACACGTTTACACCACTGAGTGGGGACCACCGACACGTTCACCTGCGAGTCTGACCTCTAAAACAAGCTGCGTTTCATGAAATAAAACTTTTGATAATGAAGCATTTACAATCCAAACATATACTAGCCTTAATAGTGTGATCAACTTTGGCTCTTTGCTTTTTCTTTTTTTTTAAAGCTTCAGCCAGAAAATGTTTTTTCCTCATCTCTTTCATCTGCCTTTCTGGAAATGTTCCCGGTGTTTTATGCATTTTCTCTGATTAATGAATCCGTACTGCTGTTCTGGACATCTGAACACATTTCAAATCAAAGACTGTAGTTATTTTGTGAACTTTCAACAACTCTCTGGAGGTTTTGACAGCATGCCAGTGGTGCTCATGGGATCTGTAGCTGTTAAATTCTAATATAATCGTTGTTTTAAGCAACAATGACGCCAGGGACGGTTAAAGGAGCCTTTAAACTCATTTTCAGGTCGATACAAGTATGTAGTGTCTCTACTGTGACATGTCTGCATGCTTTAATGTTCAAAAAGCTCTTTCTCATACTGCCTGTGCTGCAGCACCTCTTTTCACCCTCTGTCTGAAACCAGAGCCCAGTCTGCTCTGATTGGTTAGCTGGCCGGCTCTAATGTGATTGGTCAACAGATTAGAGAAGTCCCGCCCCTTAGCCTTCCCCAGGAAAGGGAACACCTCAAAAGGCATAATAGGGCCCCTTTAAAACGGACCATCATAATCTCATGTTGCTTGTTGGATACAGAGCTGTGGTTACTTGTGTCTGGAATAATGAACACTAGATTGGTTGGATCAATTAAAGTTCCACATTTTTTGTTTTTTGTCTATTTAACTAAAGACAAACTGTCACACCTTCATTTGGAAACGCATCTACCATGAGCCAGAGCTCAAGCTGCTTCTGCTCGCTCTCTGTTGGCTGATTTTAAGCTTCACTTTACACGCAGCCAGCTCCCCATGTTCACCTCCGCGATGAAGCCAAATGTAGTTAATAAGAGATTTCTTTGACGTGACTAAAAAAAACTCAGTTCAGCGGGACTTCAAATGACATCTGCTGACTCAGAAGCCTCGGCCAAACTCCACAGCGTGTTTGGCCGAGGCTCGGTGTTAATTTGCCGTCCCGTGGAACATAAACAGAGAAACATGTCATCAGCATATAACACCGTAACACTGTCACTTTGAGTGGGACTTCTATGTTGCTGAATGCGCACTGAAGAGAGAGAGCAATGCACTTCAGTGTCAGGTCAAATGAGGGAGATTACAATTCAAAATGTGACCTCTAGCGTCAATTTTGGACGTAAAAACTAATTGTATAGGGAATGTAATCCGTACACAACGTCCCCAATACTTCCATAACTGCTTCTATGGACGTATAGAAGCAGAGGCTCTATTACCCCAAAAAGCATAATAGGGCCTCTTTAATGTTTGCTCCCTGATCATTCAACCTACGATACGATAATACTTTATTGGTCAGATCAAGTCTGAAATGTGACTTGCATCACAGCAGCTCCATGTGTAACATCAACAGACAAATATCAAGACACAATACATGAAAAACAAACAACAAACATTTAACATAACATCACAATCACTGAGAGACACCATTTTCAATGACCCCTTAGCGTGCATTGTGTTGTCATATCAAATCAAATCAAATCAAGTTTTATTTATAAAGCACATTTAAAAGCGATTTTTGGTCGAGCCAAAGTGCTGTACATGTAATAAAAACACATTACTACAATCACAATAAAAGACAATAAATTACAACAGATATATATATTAAAAAAAACACAAGGAAAAGTCAGGAGTCATGCTCCGCTCTGACTAGAAGGTCAACATGTTTCTGACAGCTTTTATTATAATTAGTCAAGAGTAACACACAATATTGTTTATGTGTTTGGCTTTAGGGTTAGATTTCTTGATGCAATAATTGGAAATGGGTAAAAGAAAGGCAGGTGGATGGTAATGAAACTATACTGTAATGACTTTATCGAGGGAAAGGCAGAGCAGTAAGCTTTTCAATGACTAGCAGTGTCTTCTCCAAGATGGAGCTTGGGTCTTTTATCTCTCCGCCAATGGGTATATACATTAAGGAATTTCCAGGATGTAAAAATACAACTGGTTGATAGGAAGAAGTTCATGATGAGAAAATGCAGCTTCAGCGTCATGCACAAGTGTCTTTTTGTTTTGTAAATCAAAAACAAACTGGCAAAGTACATTCCTTACTCTCTTCTACTCTGCAGACGTTGTTATAGTCCACCAAAATATGGTTGAATGCACTTTAAACAACCTAATAAAAAAACCTTAAAGTTTGCCAAGAAACATCAAATGTGAAGTACAGTTGTTCTGTCTGCACAACCCGAAGTCGCTCTGCTCTGCACATGTGAGATAAAGTCAAAAACAAACACATAAAGCAGACCATCGCTATACTTTAAGAACTGTTTGTGCAAAGCTTTATTATCCGTGGTCCGTTCGCCAGAGAGAAATGGAGACGAAGAGAGTCTTTATTTTCCAGTTTGGACCATTTCTCTTCAGCTGGCGTCAGTGGGAGGGTCAGATGAAGAAAAGCCAATCCAACGCTTCAATAAACGGGACCTCAGCGTGAGACGGGCGACTGGGATGAAAATGAAAGTATCCTGCTGAGAGAAAGACGTAAAGGAGGCTGCACTGGCTCTAAATACACGTTATGGTCCAGGTAGTGGACACTGGAACATTTCAGCGATACATACTGGGTTGGAGCTAGAAAACATATCCAACGGGTGCAAAAGATTAAAGCAGGGGGGCACGAGAGCTCTGTTTAAACATTGGGGTCGAGAGATTAAATTAAATATATTTGTGACACAACGTTTTAGACCTTCGGGATGGACACATAGGGAGGGAGAACATTTGAAAGACTGGCTGTACGGAAGTTATTGGTGCTTGGTGTATTATGTGATATTGTAAATACAAATGTTTACGTTATAATAGGTGATGTGAACAAGCAGTGATGCAGAAAATAAAGAACTTAGATTAAAATTCCTGCAATATTTTAATGGAAATGTAACTAAAGTAAAAGTGACATCTATGAGAATACTTGAGATCATTCTTGGACGTGCATCTCAGTTCTTCTCTACTCCTCATTTTCCACACACGTCTGATCCTGCAGCAGACTAAATCCATCTTCTCTTCCTTCTTTTCATCGCCCACAAACGTCTTTCTCTCCTTCAGTTCACAGGTTGTTATGAAGCCGAGTCGTCACAAACCATTAGCAGGTTGTGTCGTACCTCTCTCAGCTCTCTGAGGATCGAGAGGAGAGAGAAGGAGTGTGTGTGGAGTGTGTGTGGAGTGTGTGTGGAGTGTGTGTGGAGTGTGTGTGGAGTGTGTGTGGAGTGTGTGTGGAGTGTAAATCAGCCTCGGGGAGCTTGCGGTTCCTCCTAATGAGGCTGAGAGCTTGTTTATGGAGTTACGCATCATTTTTATGATTATTTCCACCTTCTCAGGCTCTGCGTTGCTGTGTTTCGGGCGCAGGGAGGCCCGGTCCTCCGCTGACTCGGGGACCGTCGCCCTAACCTTGGCCCGGCACTGTTAAAAACACTGAGGAGAAAATGAGCCTCATTAAACGGGCAGAGAAAGTGCAGTAAAAACACCGGGCTTTAGCTTTTTTTTAGTGTTTCTTTTAGATGAAATGCAGCATTATGTGCCACCATCCAAAAACTGAGGGGGGGATGGAGGGGGGGGGGGGGGGGGGGGGCACAGAGAGGATTACGAAGCAGGGTAAACCCAGACTGCCCTCATCAAGTGGGGAAATCTGTGCAGGGAAAGGACACGAGTCAAAGCATGTGAGAGGCGCCTCAGAAAAGTGCTGAGAGGCTCCGTGTACACGAGTGCTAATGTTAGCTAGCTTGCTGCGTAACATCGCTCTACAATCACAGGAAAATACAGTAAATAAACTGAAACATACCAAGAGCATTTAGCTAATGTGTTCTAGTTGTGATTAGTTAATTTAGTTTTTCCTCTGTTTATGTAAGTGCCTTTAAAATATCGTCTTTAAGCCAAACGAGGAACTTTTCTTTGCCTTTTTCGAGAGAACATCACATAAGCTTTCGCTATAAAACTGTGTTACGTTCTACGTGCTCTTTGAAGCCACATTAGGCAGGATTTTCCTTAAAGGGGACCTATCATGCAAAATGCACTTTTGTACGTCTTTTATACATGAATATGTGTCCCCGGTGTTCCAGGGAACTCACCAAGTGTCAGAAAACACAACCCTCTCTATTTTCCTCCATACCCAAATCTCTAAAAAAGGGGCTGCAACGGATCTGATAAAAACTGATCCAGATTTGAACACTGTCCTGACGTCAGGACAGTGGCGCTACGGCTATTGGGCCAACTCCACCAATCAGGAGGAGACAGCCACGGCCATTGCCGTTCGAAAGCGCTGGAGACGCTGTAGTACATATGCCAGGCCTGTAGGTGGTGCTGTTCTCACAGAATCAGCCCTTGCAAAAACAGAGCTAAAAAAATTCAAATTGAGCGAAATGAGGCATGGCTAAAATGCATGATCTGTTTGGTATTTTGAAAAAAAAAAAGTATAAATATGCCTTATATAGGTATGGTCCTACACTATATTATTCAAATATAGCATGATAGGTCCACTTTAAAGAGCAAGCACACATGTCTGTATATGCAGAGTACCTTCTACTCTTCTGCCTGTATTTTGTGTTATTCTCACTTTGCTGCGTTCAGGACGTTTCAGGACTTCAACATTAAGAAAAACACTACAATAATGTGCAAGATCCTTAGCGCCAATTAATGGAAAGATACGGAAATTGCGTACACAGCGCCAGAAAAATGCCAATTATATAGCGGTAAATCCTTTATGGTCTTTGGGTTCATCTAGGTTTGGCACCTGCTGGTAAACACCATAAACCTTGTTGAGCTGGTGAGGAAGCGCTGACGTTGAATGTTGTTTTAACAAACCACAACCGATATATCCTGAGCACTTTGTCTTTGAAATGCTGGTTAATGACATTTAGGTCTGGGCTAAATTGTTGACGTTGGTCACATGTGTACCAGCCAGTTAAACATTTTTTTGATTTCTTGTTGAGAACATACAATTAAATCTCTCTCTCCTTCTCTATGTGTGGTTTAGGTGACGGCCTGGATAACGGCATGGCTTCTCCGAGCACGGGGGACGACGACGACCCCGACAGAGAACGAATGCACAACAAAAAGAGAGGCATCTTCCCCAAAGTGGCAACAAACATCCTGAGAGCCTGGCTGTTTCAGCACCTGACGGTAAGACCTGCTTCTTTCTCACTCGCTGGGTTTGGCATTTACTTACTCAAGTCAAGATGTGTGTGTGAAAGGCTTGATGCAATGTCATGTTCAGTTATATATATATATAGTACCTTGAAAGATCTTTGTGTTGATATGCAGACATGACTCTCTCCTAGTTGACTCAACTGAAGGACTTACGTGCATGTACACACTCGGGGTGGGAATCACACGTTTCATCCCAGTAGGATTAAACAAGTCTTTAGAAAATGATATATCACAAAGTCTACAGCAATGGGATTTCGATTTAAATCAATTCAGGCGTCTGTGATCAATATGAGACGATATGATGAGCCCATTGAACACGATCAGTAACATTTGTATCAGCGCACGAAAAGACAATAAAATATGATTAGACATTTTTAATACTGGACTCTATGGGAGGGAGTTGCATATGGACACACATGATGAAAAGGCGTGCCATGGGAATTTCAAAATAAAGGCCTACCTTCAAGATGAGATAGATACACTAGATAGCTGATCTGTAACGATGTTATCACTTTGAATCAATTATATTTTAACGTGGATCATTAGTTAATATATTACATTACATTACATGTTACTTGTTAGATGCTTTTATCCAAAGCGACTTACATACTCAATACTGTGGACAATCCCCACAGGAGCAATTTGGGGTGAAGTGTCTTCAGGGACACAACGACATGCTGACTGCAGTGGGGTTTGACATATATTGATCCATATCGATGGATTGTTAAACCCCTATTATGCACATGTTGAAAATGCAACTTCACTACTTTTATTTTGTAGAGACTTGAGCATGCTGTGTGTTGAATTTGAGTTAGCTTTATGCTAACTCTTCATTACAGTATGCATCGGTACTTTATTATGCTGGGTTATAACCAAGCTAGCCCCTTCAGTAGAATAAACAACAGTTGCTTTACTTAGCATCGTGAGTGCTAACAGAAATGATATCATATATTTGGTTCATTTGTGCTGAAAATAATTTGAAGACTTAATGAATATATACACAAATAGCAGATCACTGAGTTATTAAAAAAAAGTCAAATTGCAATAATTTTTTTAAATCATTAAATATAGGTTATTTCACGCGGAAGACATAATGAACGGTCACGAATATTACTTTAAAGCTGTGTCAAAGTGGAATTGCAAATAAGTTATTTAGTCATCAGTTATTACTTCTTTCACATAAAAGTGTTTGGTACATTTGAGCTTAAATTAAATAACAGATAATTGCATGTTAGAATAATAATAATAATCTTTATTTGTATAGCACCTCTCATACAATGAGTGCAGTTCCAGGTGCTTCACATAGACATTTCACAGACAATTGATATCACATAGCATACAGTTAGCAGTAAAAGACATAAAAACTAACTCAAAATATCAGACATAATGAACATATATGAACAATAATGAACATATTAAATCAGCGTAACTGTGTGTGAATGGTTGTTGAAAAGCTCCCAGGTAGAGTCTGGCTCGACAGTCTCTCTAATAAACACTTAATCAGCTCTCCTGGCTGTTTTGGGAGTTTTGAACCCGTGACCTTCCACTTCTGAGCCGACGTTTCGGTCCACTTTGAAGTCTCGTTGACCTTCTCACCGTCCCACCTGCTCACAACCTGAGGACAGGGGTCATGACCTTTGACCTCTGCTGCCAGCCAGGTATTTCACCTGTGGGCTTTTTCTTCAGAGGCGTCTTGACAGAGGAAAGGCAGAGTTCTGACTTATGACTGAAAGGAATGTCATTTAACAATTTCTGTCTATTTAAACGTCAGGGTTCAGTGGAAAAACACCATGTAACAATGGCCACTGGTGTCTCATGTTTAGATTGATGGATATTCTTTCAGAAGAACATGTAAAGTCCCGCCTAATTATTCTCTAAAAGTGACCTTCTGAACTTGTCTTCATCAGCGGGTATGCATGCTTGAACACATGTATACAAGGTTTTTAATGACGCATTACAGGAAGAGACAAGTGCTAACAGGTGTAGCTGAGATGAATAAAAGAAAGGAGTGACACAATGAGTTATTTACTCGGCAGGGAGGAGCGTGCTCATGAACTCTGCAGCAGCATAACGCCCACAATCAATCAATGCTAAAACGTCCAACTGTAGAATAACAAAACTATAAAACTGATTGGCCAGTGAGCTTTGTCAGTTCAAACAATGAAAGTTATACCTTTTAACCTTTTAATACCCAGAAGTATTCAAGATTGAACTGAGTGTAAGAGACCCTTTGACTGTTTTTACTTTTCTCTTTTCACTTTGCTTTGTTCGGGGCATCAATCCGTAGAAAACATTTGTCTTATTTGTGGCAGTATTCAGTCGTTCAGATTCTTGGCTTTGGGTTGATTCATTTCTTTGTACCACATGGTTTAATTTGAAATCCAGAGGAAATACCAGTTACTTCTTAATTTGGTTGTAGTGTCTCTACTTTAAAGAGTCCTCTCCTGCTGATGTTCAGGTGTATATCAGTATGTAGTGTCTCTACTTTAAAGAGTCCTCTCCTGCTGATCTTCAGGTGTATATCAGTATGTAGTGTCTCTACTTTAAAGAGTCCTCTCCTGCTGATGTTCAGGTGTATATCAGTATGTAGTGTCTCTACTTTAAAGAGTCCTCTCCTGCTGATGTTCAGGTGTATATCAGTATGTAGTATCTCTACTTTAAAGAGTCCTCTCCTGCTGATGTTCAGGTGTATATCAGTATGTAGTGTCTCTACTTTAAAGAGTCCTCTCCTGCTGATGTCCAGGTGTATATCAGTATGTAGTATCTCTACTTTAAAGAGTCCTCTCCTGCTGATGTTCAGGTGTATATCAGTATGTAGTATCTCTACTTTAAAGAGTCCTCTCCTGCTGATGTTCAGGTGTATATCAGTATGTAGTGTCTCTACTTTAAAGAGTCCTCTCCTGGTGATGTTCAGGTGTATATCAGTATGTACTTTAAAGAGTCCTCTCCTGCTGATGTTCAGGTGTATATCAGTATGTAGTGTCTCTACTTTAAAGAGTCCTCTCCAGCTGATGTTCAGGTGTATATCAGTATGTAGTGTCTCTACTTTAAAGAGTCCTCTCCTGCTGATGTTCAGGTGTATATCAGTATGTACTTTAAAGAGTCCTCTCCTGCTGATGTTCAGGTGTATATCAGTATGTAGTGTCTCTACTTTAAAGAGTCCTCTCCTGCTGATGTTCAGGTGTATATCAGTATGTAGTGTCTCTACTTTAAAGAGTCCTCTCCTGCTGATGTTCAGGTGTATATCAGTATGTAGTGTCTCTACTTTAAAGAGTCCTCTCCTGCTGATGTTCAGGTGTATATCAGTATGTAGTGTCTCTACTTTAAAGAGTCCTCTCCTGCTGATGTTCAGGTTCATATCAGTATGTAGTGTCTCTACTTTAAAGAGTCCTCTCCTGCTGATGTTCAGGTGTATATCAGTATGTAGTGTCTCTACTTTAAAGAGTCCTCTCCTGCTGATGTTCAGGTGTATATCAGTATGTAGTGTCTCTACATGTCTCCATGCTTTAATGTTCAAAAAGCTCTTTATTTTTCTCATACTGCCTGTGCTGCAGCGCCTCTTTTCACCCTCTGTCTGAAACCAGAGCCCAGTCTGCTCTGATTGGTTAGCTGGCCGGCTCTGTTGTGATTGGTCAACCGCTTAGAGATGTCCCGCCCCCTAGTCTATCATGTATTTTATTTATTTTTTTAGACATTGTCTTTATTGATATTTTCAGCCTATCATGTATAATATGTTGGAGCGCTAGCCAATAGAAGCACAAGTGTTACATCGTGATGTCACTATGTTCAGGAAGTAATCAAAGCATTACAATGGTGGAACTTTGGGATTTTAGCCTTTGCAGACCATTTACACGCACACAAACCATATAACACTCTACAGGAAAGGGAAAAACCCCAAGAAAGAAAATGGGCCTCTTTAATGTGATTGGGCCGTACGTCTTGCTCTTGTCATTGGCTCGTACTTTGTCTGACAACAGGGGAAAACAGCCAGTTGAGTTAGCACATCTTCCACTGATACTTTGGTGAATTACCGTTTTAATTAGACCAAGCGAGAAATGCAAGGCAAGGCAAGTTGATTTATATAGCACCTTTCAACACAAGGCAATTCAAAGTGCTTTACAAAATTGGAAGACATTAAGAGCATTACGAAATGGTGCAGCAGAAACACATTATAAAATTAGAAAAATGTAAATAACTAAGACGAGATCCGTGATTTTTACTTAGTAGAATGAGACACAATCACGCTCAATTTCCACTCCTTCGGTTACTGTGAAAGCTCAGCTCGGCCTTGGGTTAAGACAGGGTGTGTCTGAAGGATTAAATCAAGAGTTTTTCCCACAAAGCTTTATATTAATATGTCTGTGAATCAGCGAGATACATAAATCAAATTCCAATATTTCTAATAGTGCGAACCTCTGACGGGAAATATTATTTTTTACGAGTGTGAGGCTGAAATGAAGCGTCCAGTTAAAGTGGAAGAACCAGCAATGGCTGACTCATAGTTTTGGCTGAGGCCAGCAGAAATACCTCCTCCCCGCTTTCCTCCAAACATGGAGAGGCTAAATCTGTCTCTGCTCGTCGGGGGTCGAGACGCTGCCAGGACAGAGAGTCCTGCAGCAGATGGGAGGGGGAGGAACTGTACCTGAGGAGGGAGGGAAGGAGGGAAGGAGGTGAAGGAGGTGAAGGTTGTGTGAAGGGCAGCAGCAGTACAATCAACGCAGGAATACAAAACACACAGCGGAGAAAATAATGAAGCAGTATATTGTTACAGGATGTGTATTTTGTAAATTGTGTAATTTTTGTATTCTTTTGATCTTTAATATTTGTGTATGCATGCTTCTTAGGTAACATTAAGCTGTCTTTGGCTCTTTTCTGCTGTAAAAAATGTAAATGTCCCCTCTGTGGGACGAAATAAAGAAAAACATCTCCAGATACTCAAGTGGAAATTCACTGCATAGAAAAACATGCATTTT